CCCCCCCCCCCTTACCTCACCCTCGAAAATCCCAAAATCCCCATTGTTTTCACCCGGCGAGACCATCCCCTAAACTGGCTTAGTTCTATATCCCGTATAAAATAACAAAGTTTGATGTCATAGATGACACACAAATGTTTCCGACGAATACATGTCCAGGGTTACGGTACCTCTCCATTTCTCTTATTTTTCTATTTGTAATTATCCAAAAAGTTCATGGACTTGGTAAGACCTTTTTTTTTTTTGTAGAATTCATGATACGAATATTTAGAGCCCATTATTGATGCTCCAACTACTCCAAAATCCTCCGGCACAATCTCACCATTTGGAAATGTGACTCTCACGAACCTACCGTCTATGACAACCGCATCCTCTCCTGGAAACCATACCCAGATGAATTTGAATTCCGAACACCCGGCTACACTGGCACCCATGCCAACTGCAGCTCGGTCAAATTTCACTTTTGGCACAATGCCTACAATCGTTCCGATCGTGAACCAAACGGCTCCAGTGTTGTATCCGGGTAATGGTACTTTGACGAACTCAACTGCTACACCAATTGTGCTTGGAGATGTAACAATGCCACATGCAGGGAATATGAGTTTGGTTGGTATGACTACAACGGCTAGTCATGGAGCACCAGTAGCTGGGATGACAACTACTGCTGGACATGGTGCTGGTCCGGCTGCTGGAATGACAACTACAGCTGGCCATGGACCTCCTCCAGCTCCTGAAGTCACAACTGTTGGCCACGGAGCGCCTGCCGCCAATGTCCCAGGAATGACAACCACAGTTGGGCATGGAGCCCCAATTGCTGGAATGACAACAATGGGGTTGCCAGCCCCCGATCTTTCTTAGTAAGGATATTTCCTAGTGAGAATGTTTCTCAGCGAGGAATTTTCTCAGAAGGATACTTTTTTTGTGCACTGTTTCTAAATGCTCCGGAAACATTCAAAATCATTTTTTGATTCCGAATTCGAAAACAAAAAAATTTAAATCCATTCAATCTGCAAAAAAAATGAAATTTGAACATTTGCACCTCTTTTTTCAAATACACAGAGTTTGATCATTGAGAATTTTCGAATCTAGTGTGTTTTTAATTTTTGCATAGAAAAAAAAACAATAAAAAACAACCCCACTGCAAAATTATGCAAAATCTTGGGATTATATTTCTTTGCACAGGCCTAATCTTCGTTCTAGTTGTCCTGAAAAAAACCTATAAATATAGGAACCTAGGGTTCAGATTTTTCAACAAGTTCTCTAATAGAGAATTCGAAGAAAATATGAAGCTTAATATTTTCTATTTCACCTTTTTGATCGGTTTGGCAGTGACACAGGAGGCGGCGGTTCAGAGTGAGTCAGAAATGTTTTGCAAGAAATTATTAATGAAGTTCAGCCGCAGTGCAACCAGTTCCAACTTTGACCTGTGCCAATGTCCTATGTATGGGTCCCGGAGGATGTGCAATGGTTGAGCCATTCCCAGGTGGCAAGCCACAACCTCAGTGTTTGGATGTGTCTTGTAAAAGTAGTAAGTACTGTGGAGCATGGCGCCCCAAGCCTCGAATCTTCGAAAAAATTGAATGCTTAGAATTCAACCTATCCTAGTAGTCCAACGTAGTCCAATCTAACCTAGTACTTCAATATTTTCAGCATGCCAGACCACCAAATGTGCGGCTAACCATCAATGCGTGATGACTCAAGTTACCTGTGTCAAGGCACCATGCTGTCCAGTTCCTCAGTGTCGTCCAATTAAAGTCGATCCAGTACCAACTTTGACATGCGCTAATGTCCTATGTATGGGTCCTGGAAGATGTGCAATGGTTGAGCCATTTCCAGGAGGAAAGCCACAACCTCAGTGCTTGGACCCGTCTTGTAAAAGTAGTGAGTGCTAGGAAGCCATCAGATAGTGTCATGTAAATAAACCTCGACCCTTGTAACCTCGAAGCTGCTTTGACAACTTCAAAAAGCTGACAACTTTGAATTCTTAGAAGTTTCCCAATTTTCACATTTGAGCCCATAAAACCACCTCTCCACATTTTCAGCTTGCCAGACAACTAAATGTGCGGCTGACCATGAGTGTGTTATGACCCAAGTCACCTGTGTCAAGGCACCATGCTGCCCTCAGCCGCAGTGTCGTCCGATTAAAGTTAATCCAGTCCCAACTTTGACCTGCGCCAATGTCTTATGTATGGGACCCGGAGGATGTGCCATGGTTGAGCCGTTTCCAGGAGGAAAGCCACAACCACAGTGTTTGGACCCGTCTTGTAAAAGTAGTGAGTGCTAGGAAGCCATCAGATAGTGTCATGTAAATAAACCTCGACCCTTGTAACCTCGAAGCTGCTTTGACAACTTCAAAAAGCTGACAACTTTGAATTCTTAGAAGTTTCCCAATTTTCACATTTGAGCCCATAAAACCACCTCTCCACATTTTCAGCTTGCCAGACAACTAAATGTGCGGCTGACCATGAGTGTGTTATGACCCAAGTCACCTGTGTCAAGGCACCATGCTGCCCTCAGCCGCAGTGTCGTCCGATTAAAGTTAATCCAGTCCCAACTTTGACCTGCGCCAATGTCTTATGTATGGGACCCGGAGGATGTGCCATGGTTGAGCCGTTTCCAGGAGGAAAGCCACAACCACAGTGTTTGGACCCGTCTTGTAAAAGTAGTAAGTGCTAGGGAACACGTTATTACAAAACTCGAATTTTCAACAAAAAAAATTAAATGCTTAGAATTCAGCCTATCCCAGTAGTCCAACCTAATCCAATCTAACCAAGTACTTTCGTATTTTCAGCTTGTCAGACTACCAAATGTGCGGCCAACCAAGTTTGCGTTATGACCAAAGCCACCTGTGTCAAGGAACCGTGCTGCCCAGTCCCACAGTGTCGTCCAATTAAAGTTGATCCAGTCCCGCCTCTGACTTGCGCCACCATGTTGTGCAAAGCTCCAGGAAGATGTGTGATGGTTGAGTCTCCCGGAAGCAAGCCACAACCTCAGTGCTTGGATGCGTCCTGTAGAAATAGTAAGTTAACCTCAGCTAGATTTAGTTAGTATATGCCAGATTCATATTCTTAAACCCATTTTTTTCTCAGCATGCTCCAACAAATTCTGCTGGTTCTGGGAAGAATGCTTCCTGTCCAAAGTCACCTGTGTCAAGGAACCGTGCTGTCCAATTCCAACTTGTCGCCTTCGAAAAATCACATTCCCACCACTATTCCCAATTCGAGAGAAGAGACAAGCCTACCAAAGATGCACAGGGAAGAATCAAGTTTGGTCGGATTGTGGATCGGCATGCCCAGCTCGTTGTGATCAGAAGGAACCGGTGAATTTCAAAGAATAATAATTTAGAATATTCTAGAAAATTTCCAGGTCATGTGCCCAGCTGTCTGTGTTGCTGGATGCTTCTGCAAGGATGGATACATCCTGAATGACAAGGGACAATGTGTCAAACATTGTGAATGTTGACTTAAATTTTGTGAAAATATTTTTCTCTTTTTCTGTTCATACTGATTGTGCAAAAAAGGCCATGAATACTTACTTCCTGTTCGAATTTTTGTTCCTGAAAAACATTTTTGTGGAATTCCAATAAAGACAAGATTTCTTTCAACAGAACCGTCTGTATAAAATGGCAGCACTGGTAGGATGAGCTAAGAAAAACTAATCTAGGATAATACATGATGAGTTATGGTGAAGTAGGGTAAGCTAAGGCAAACTGGGTGAGCTAGGGTGAGCTAGGGCAACATTGGGCAACCTTAAACAAGCTAGATCACGTGAGATCAAGCTAGGTCAATCTTAATCAACACCAAGACTTCAATTAGTTCCTCTACAGCCTGTACCGAATGTCCGCGAGCCAATCAGTGTGTCCTGGTTGACAAACCATGTGAAAAGGAACCATGCTGTCCAATCCCAACTTGTCGTCCACGTGCAATTGGTCATTGGCCAGTTAAAACCAAATGAGAAATCTGGTGTACCACTGAAAGATGCCACCGGGATATACGTGTTCGATGAAGGGCCTTACATGTAAACGTGCTAAGTAAAATTGTTAATTTTACTCTCCAATAAAATTTTTTGAACATTTGATGCGTACCCTGTTCTTCTAGAATTATGTCTTTAGTCTGAACAAGACTACCAAGAAATCAAAATTTTCGTATTCAGTCACATAGGCCAGACAACAAACATTAGCATAACAAAAACTGCCCGAAAAATCGGATTTCAGTTCTTCTTTTAACACTTTTTGTCACGTTTAACACCATACAACCTGTTATGTTAACAGGACACAGTTCAAAAAATCACAGGAACAAAAAGTATAAAATGGGAACGACAGAACTCTGAAATTATCATGTCCTTGAAAAACATGAAGCTAGCTATCTTTATGTGCTTCCTGGCTATCGGATCAACCGGAGCACAAAGTAAGCAAGACCCTATCTAGAAAATATTAAAATTTAACTTTTGTTCAGTTGTGGGACCAGGAGCACCTTCGACCTGTGCCAACACACCATGCGATGATGGTACATGCGTCATGGTGGAGACTACTTCTGGAGAGCCGTTGGTGCCACGATGTGTGCCGACTTGTTCAAATCGTAAGTTGATGTGCAAGCATGGGCAAGCTAGAGCGAGCTAGAGCAATTAGTAGTTCGGCTAAATCTATGCTTCCCTAGCCTCACTTTAAACCTCAACATGCTTTTTTTTCAGCTTGCGCTAACGTTGCGTGCGGTCCAAGCGAACAATGTGTCCTTGTCGAGGTCATTTGTGTCCAAGGCCCATGCAACCCAGTACCAGAGTGCCGTCCCCAAGAACTCACCGACGTCATACCATTCCAACTCCGCACGAAGCGTCAAATCGAAGTCACCTGTCCTACCGAATGTACCACACCTGGAGGATGTGCAATGGTTCGTCCGCTGAATTGTTTCGATCCCAACGCCGATGGCACCTGCCCAATTCGTGCCGCATGTGTGAAAGCGAACCCATGTGATGCTATGCGTTGTATGGAAGGTAGCCAATGTGTGATCACTGAGGTTTTCTGTGGACGTCGTCAGTGTGATCCGATTGCTGAGTGCGAGCCGATTCTGGATCCTATCGATTTGCGATGCGTCAATGAGAAGAATCAAGTGTGGACCGACTGTGGAGCTGAGAATCAACGTGTTTGTGGACAGACTGAGCCGGTAAGCTAGAACTATTAAGTTTATAACTAAGATTCTATAAAACATGATAATTTTCAGAATCCATGCTCCCCAGCCTGCCAAGCTGGATGTGTCTGCATGAAAGGATTCTGTCGCAACAAGTTGGGAAAGTGTGTCGCTGAGAATAATGAACCTATTTTCTCTTAATTATCCGAATATTTTACCTCGCTTCTGTTTAATAAATACGAACATTCATTTTAGTGGTTTTTTTCTCTAGAATCCAAGAATCCGGAACTATTCCAGAATCTGTTGGAAACAGAAAAACGGAAGTGTTCTTTCTATTTTCATATTGTAATGCCAATCCATTAAAAACATGGATCCAGTAACTGAATCAACATGTTATTTGCTCCAACTGTCAAAAAGGTCCTATAAAAATGATATGTTTGTAGAGGAACTTCACATCGGTAAGGAAGATTAAGAGTACTTTGGATTCCAATTAGATATTTCAGCACCAATAAAGCCGCTACCAGGGGTACCAGTCCTAGCAATTGATTATAAGAACCGTAAGTTTAGGGCGATTTCAGTAAAACGTGAAGCAATCTAGCCTAGGCTAGTCTGAGCTGACTAGAGTTAGCCTAAGCTAGCCTATACTTGCTAGGATCAGCTACCACAACCAAAATATTTCAGCTTGCGCCTACACCAAATGCAGACTATACGAGAAGTGCGTAATGGTCCAGGTCAATTGTCTCATGCCTCCATGCTGCCCAGTGCAGACCCCGTCCGATCGTCCTCCCTCCCCTCGAGCCACTTCCCTTCGATCCACTTCCTATCGAAGCCGTTCGCAAGAAACGTCAAATCGGTGTGCGGCTTAAGGTCAACCCGTGCCCAGGAAAGCTTTCGCTATCACTTGTATCAAGGCTCCATGCTACCCAGTACCCGTGTGCAGACCCCGTCCGATCGTCCTCCTAGGACTCTGCCGCTCTGGCTGCAACTGCAAAAAAGATTTCTATCGTAACAAGTTGGGAGAATGTAATACTGATGAGGAGTGTGACAATTTGACTGAATAATACTTATTGTTTCTGTGAATGGCTTCTTCGCAATTTTTTCAATAAATTTTTCTAAATGCATTTTCAAGTTTTTTCTGCATTATTGAAAGAGATACTGTACATTTTTTTCATGACGATTTCCTGTTGATCTGCCTAGAAATTTCCAAGGTTGTTATGGACCGGAACTAGTTCACTTCAAAAGAGTATAACCTAGCTAAGCTCTAGCAAGCCTAAATACGCTTCAACTGTTATTAACAAACTCGGAGTAGCCTGAGCCAGCGTGGTGCTAGCTAAGTGTAAGAATAGCTGAGCTGAGCTTTAGCTTACTTGAACTAGCCTAAACTAATCTGCGTTCGCTACATCTTAGCGGAGTCCAACCTATCCAAGCTCAAGCTAGCCTGCTCTAGCTCAAACTACTCTTAACTAGCCTGAACTAGTAACTAGAATGAACATGCTTAATCTATGATAGCCTACCACTTTATCTTAATTAACTCAGCAAAGTTTCCTAGAAAGATAAAAACCCGGTGTCACAATTTTTCGCACAAGAATTCGTTTTCAAAAGCAAAAAATTCAGAAACTACTCTCGGATTTGCATACAATTCCGATATTTCCAAAAAAAAACATCGATAATATCTGTTAAATTTTCGATATTATAATGTCAATCTATTGAAAACATCAATCCAGAAACTGCATCAACATGCTATTCGCTCAAATGGTCGAAAACCATAAAGCCCTATAAGTAGTAGTGAAAGTACCTTTCTGGTGCAGTTTTCTGCCCACTTTTTTCGCTTCTTTCTAAACACCTCAAAACACAAATTTTTACTGATAAGCAAGCCATAACCACCACCAACCTCATACTTAAACACCATTTCACTCCTATTATCAAATTTGCTCCCATGTCAGAATGGTAGTGTGTATGTTTAGTATTCGACAGACAAAAGTTCGAATCTAGATCAAAATTAAAAAGGATAAAAGTTAGGTGAAGAGTTAATGAAGTCGCAAAATATTCAAAAAAACTCCGTCAACCAAACGAAAAAGTTGCCTCATTAACAATATGCAAAAAATCAGCCGTTGGAGTGAAAAAAATTGTCGTCGGAGTGAAGGAAAAAAGACAAGAAAAATCAGCCATCGGAGTGGAAAATAGTGCACAGTCTGCTCTGCGGCAGCGATATTGTTATCTATTCTTTACCATTATTTCGGTTTATTAAATGTTGTGCAAAGATTTGAAACCGTTAACAAATATAGATTTATTGAAATTGGCACAAGATTTACAAATTAAAAACTTTAGAGGGTGTGATTCTGATTCTTTTATTCAACTGAAGAAAGTGAGCACAAGTCAATTCAATTATTATTTTTCGTCATCACATCTACCTGTCTTTTGTATAAAAACAGCGGGACCCTCCTCTCCCATGACTGGCATGTTTTTCATCTGTTCAGTCATCTTTGCAATATGCATTTGCACCACATGGTTCCTCTCTTTGACCTTCATCGCCAACGCCGCCCCTCTTGTCTTTCTTTCGATCTCTTCATCGAATAGATCTCTTCGTTTATTCATACGAATGACTTCATTATCGCGATTATGCTGTGCAGCCTTCATCTTGTTCGAGATCTCCTCAATTTTCAAATCGAGCTTGGCTATTTGATCGACTTCCAACAGCCTTTTTCGATACTCCTTCAATTGTTGAGGTGGCATTTTTTCCTCTTCTGTAGGACCGTTACGTGGAATCGTATTGCGAAGCACTGGCGGGTCGGATGGCAGGCTGCTTGAATATGGCTGGCTGATTGCTAGTTGACCAATTCCTCGGTCGACTTCCATTGGTTGGTCTGAACTGTCTCGACCCATGTTCTGAAATTATTTAATTATATATTGACAAAATTCAAAAAACATAAAAATGAAGTCCGTTACGGAAAACTTGAATGGAGAAAAGGAATGGAGAACATATGTAGGTGTCAAACTTTCATATCATTTAATCCTTCCTTTTAAGCTTCTTTTAAATGGAAATGTTCTGCTTGAAGTGTCAAAAGTACACCAGTACTATTGACGTAACAGAAGGATTAAGTAGAAACAATAGGCAGATGATGAGAGGAAAGTGTCAATCATGCAGCAGAATGAAATGTGTAATCGTTCCCAAGTTCAAAACTGGCGGTGAAATCATACCTCTGAAATCAGAAAAAGTCCTCAAGGAAGCGTTTTACAATCCTGAAACTGGATTCTGTGGCATTAATGAGCTGCAAAGAAAAACCAAAAGACCAATCAAAGAAGTGAAACAATTTCTCAATGAGCAAGATGTGTACACTCTTCACAAACCTGCTAGAAAGAATTATCAAACCGAAAGAGTTTACATTCATGACATCGATGAACAATGGCAATCAGATCTTGTTGAAATGATACCATATGCAGCTGAAAATAATGATTTTAGATATCTCCTGACAGTTATAGATTGTTTCAGCAAGTATGCGTGGGTGGTCCCACTAAAATCTAAAACTGGTAAAGAAACAGCTGATGCTCTAGAATCCATTTTCAAAAAAAGAAAGCCTCAGAAAATGCAAACTGACAATGGAAAAGAATATTACAACAAAGAGATGAAAGCTCTTTTTAAAAGTTTTGATGTTCATCATTTCTCAACATATTCAGGCAAGAAAGCATCCATTATTGAGAGATTCAATAGAACTCTCAAAGAAAAAATGTGGAAAATGTTCACCCATCAAGGCAATCACAAATGGATAAATATTCTAGACAAGCTTGTTTCCGGATACAATAATCATTTTCATCGTAGTATAAAAATGACTCCAACTGAAGCTTCCAAGAAAGACAACGTAGATCAAGTCCACGAAAATCTATTCCCATCAACTGAACCGTTAGAAGCTCCTCTCAAAAGTAAATTCAAAATTGGTGACACCGTCAGAATTACAAAATATAAAGCCATTTTCGATAAAGGATATTTACCTAATTGGAGCACCGAAATATTCAAAATCACAAAAGCTCATCCGGGAGAAGTCACAACATACTCCATTAAAGATTTAGCAGATGAAGAGATCAAAGGAAAGTTTTATGAAGAAGAACTTACTCTGTTTAATAATGTCAATGAAGAATACAAAATAGAAAAGATACTGAAACGTAGAACTAGGAAAGGAGTAAAAGAAATGTTTGTAAAATGGTATGGATATCCTGAAAAATTCAATTCATGGATTCAAGATAACTAAACACTAACAACCTTAACTCTATTATCTTTAATTTCAACAATATTTTCACTCATAATCAAACAATAACATTTTGTGTTTTGTACAATACTCTTTGAAAAGGAAGCTTTTATTGTAACGTCAGGTCTTGATTGGATAATTCTATCATTTTGTTTAGATACATCGAACACCAACAATGGGTAATAGTAATAGTATACATCTTCTTCCATGAAAATGTAATCTTTTGTTGATTCATAGTAACTGTTTCTAAACTCTTTAGCAAAATTGTATTGCTGAACAGCATTAAACTTGTCAAAGTCAAACTTTAAACAGTCATGAGGATACCGCTCTGAATTTAACTCGACATAAATTTCTTCCAATCCACAGTTATCAAACTTACCTGCATTCAGATAATTGTTATCTCTATTGCTCTGCAAAGCAACCACTATATACTTTATTTTGTCATATTTCGTTCCCAATTTCCATGTGAATTCTCTATTTCCATTAGGTATATTATAACTTTCCAACTGTCTGGAAATAAAAGGCATCTGTACAAGCTTGCTACTCTCAAAAATGTTCAACAGTTTATTTTGCATTTCAAGACTAGGAACAATCTTTGGAATAATCCATTGTAATTTTTTAATATTTATCTTAGCTGTATGTTTTTTAGCATCATTAGATGTAATACTATTTTTGTTCTCAGGAGATCTGTAGAGAGTTAGCTGATGCTTTCTACCATAAACTATTTTATTATAACATTCAGCAAAACCAAATATGTGAGTTAGTGGGATACAGAAAGTAATACTTCCTTTTCTATTTTTTGTATATTTGTTTATCTTGTATGTAATAATATCTTTAGTTTCTAGAATCCACCCAAAAGTGTTTTGCTTGTTCATAGTGCTGCTATAAGTTAACAACCCCTTCATCAAACTAGCTCTACCAGGATCCATTATACTTTCAACTTGCATTCCATCCATGCTATAAGTTGATCTATCAAACAAAAACATTGGTGCATTATTAGTCAAGGATACTTCATCTGCTTCAGCCAATGCAGTGTCATCTGATTTCAATAGTTCACATTCCATATAAATATAAGATTTGTGTAAGTGTAGGTATTGATCACACGTTTCTATGACAAAATTGATTTCTCCATGTTGATTCAAACTAGATCCTGAAGAAGGAAATATGCTTATGAGATTCTCTTTTTGAATTGAAGTATCGCTCACAATAGGCGTATCAACTACAAGCATTTTGTCAACAGCTTCTATCATTGAGCTAATTTAAAACCTGAAATTTTATAAATAATATTTAGAAGTACTAAATGCGCATATTATCGGTGTTGCTATTTTTGAATGTATTCAAAGAAGCATTCAGCAAACCTATTATCTGCACAGATAACTCCCCTGTTCAATATTTCAAAATCCCAAAATTACACAAATGCAATTATCATCGAATTCTCAATAGTCGATCAGAACTTGTGCAATACGAGGTTTTCAAGCCAAACATTATTGAATATGTTTCAGATGCAAAATTATGTAAAAAATTGGTTAGCGAAGTATCAGTGTACACCGATTTCAGTGGTTATGAACACATGGTGGAAAAAGAATTGAACAACTATCCCATTACACTGTCTGAATGTAGAGAAATGATTAATAGTAAGAAATGTGGGTTTGGATCTTTAACAAAAGGTAGTTCTAACACATGGAGCACCAATAACAAAATTGATGTGGATTATCCAAACAGATTCACCAGCTTTTTCACTCCAAAGAGATATTACAAGGAAAATTGTATTGTTATTGAAACAAAAGTTTACTCACATTTCAATCAAACAAAACCAACCAATATTATGGCTGATATGAACAATTGTAAATATCAAGACGGCTTTTGTGAGATCAAGAAAAATGAAATCATCACTTGGGATGTCAACAGAGAGCAAAAATGTCAATACATTTCGATTGGAATACTAGACGGAATGTATAGCAACAAACTTTGGGTTAACAATAAAAACCAAATTGCTCTCAACTTTCAATCAAACAAAACTATTCAAGATTGCAACTCGAACCTAATGATTAGTGATGAAGGCTTTGCTGTTAGAAAAATAAACAGAGCTTCAACGCAGTATTCTCCAAGGCAAATTCCCGTCTCTTTCCATCACACTCTCAAAGGCTACAGCCCGACGATGATAGAAGAAAACGTGAACAAGAGGAGCAAAGAAAGCAGCAAGAAGATAATCGAAGACGTGAACAAGAAGACATTAGAAAACGTGAAGAACAATCGAGACGTGATCAAGAAGATGGTAGAAGACGTGATCAAGAAAGGCAAAAACAGAATGAGGCAGATTTCGAAAAACGGAAACAAGAAAAATTGAAGAAGGAAGAAGAAGCTGAGAAAAAGAAGCAAGAAAAGATTAGGAAAGCCCAGGATGAGGCTGAAAGAAAATTAATACAACAACGGCAAGAAGAAGATTGGACTGTTCATGATGAGAAACCAAAAGGTGGAGATAATCGCAGCCCCCCAAAATCAAACAGAACCAAAAGAGAGATTCCAGACCATCGATCAGAATTTGAAACTCCTAAGGAACCCGCCATCTTTCAACCATTACCACTGCCAGACTACGACGAGTACCTAAAAATAAAACAGGACTGTGAAAATTTCCCAAGTTATGAAGCTTTCAAGAATAGTCGAGATGGATGTGATTCGCTAACAACCTATACAGATTTCATTCACAAAATTGCCAACTTTGAGAAAGAACAGCAGTTGAATTCTTCCACAGATGAAAAATGGCAGCCACTACCTTTCCCTGGTTACGAAGAATTTCTGAGTATCAAAGAAGATTGTGACATTCTCCCAAGTCATGCCGAGTACAAGACTATCAGAGAGAGTTGCGATGCATTCCCAAGTTATACAGAATTCATCAAAAGAATATCTAATTACGAACTGTTTCAAACTGGAAAGCAACGCATAAAAAGAGAATTGTACTCCGACTTCCAAGCAGCAGGAGAATTTCAATACCTAGAAAACCAATCCAACAACCTTTTACGACATACAACTGAAGTAATGTGTGATATTTTCAACGAGCAAAATGAAGTTCTTGAAAGTCTCATCAGAGAAAATCCAAGAAGATTTATTCAAAAACAGCTCAACCATACAGCCGTTAAAGTAAGATTTATCGATACTCAAGATTCTAATGGAATTGTTCAAGTTACATTCTGCAAAGAAATTGATGAAGAAGAGATTGACTTTTTAGACATTACTCGTTTCGATGGACACAAATTAAGTATTGCTCTCACACTCGGACAAATTCCAATCAAGATTAAAAGTCTTGGAGATAAAATTTGGTATTACAAGAATGACAATTTTGGAGGAGTCATATCCAGCAAACCACAACTTCACCCAATGATTGATTTTAGAACCAACATTACCAACATGAAAAGCTTCAAAGAATTTGATTTGAAATTCCTAGATGATAAAGTGATTTTCCATGAACACATTTTGTTAGACTTGAAGACCAACATTGAAGAAGAACTGATCGAAGAAATGCGAGAAAAATCTGATGTCTCTATTCAAGTACATGCCAGTAACCAAGATTCTACTTTACCTCACGAAATATTAGACGATGTCGAAGGATTCTTTGGAAAATGGTGGCTTAGAATTTGGAGAGTTGGTGTAACACTCGGAGTTGCTGTAGTTTATATATTTGTGGGTAGATCAATTTGGATGATACTTTCACCCAAAACCTTTATTGATAGGAGAAATAATAACAGAAGAAGAAGAGAATATGAGGCTGTAGAATTAAGAGAAATGGTACACCGCCCATCTGTTCAATCTCTCACTGTTGATTAACTTTTTATTTCAAATAAATGAGATTTTTCTATACAAACGGTCCAGAACAGGCTAAAACTTCTAGCTACGTAATAATAAGTCCTAAAGAAAATGATAAAATTGAATTGGTAGATAATCATAAAGAATCGTCTAAACAGGGTGTTCCATCAGAACAACTCAAAGATTTAGCAGCTGAATCATCTAAAACAAAAGGGTCCGGAAATACATTTAATAGCAAACCAAAAAAATCGAATTCACAAAAAATAACAAAAGATAATAACAACTTTTTAAAGATTCTCAAAAGCGGATCAGGATTCAAAAGAATTTAGAGAATGTGTAACTCTATATGAATATCACAATCATTTGTTTCAATAAGATTATTATTTTGATCAACAAGTTTCAAAGTTAGTGTGTTACAAGCATTTAAAGTTTTATGATAGATCAAATTTATTGGTTCGTATCGTATCTTTTTGTCTTTACCAAACTTGCAAATAATGTTGCTTTGTTTTTCGTTCATGAAAGAGTCGCAAATAAGGTTGCATGATAGATATACGAAATTTTTTTTATCATTATTCAATGTTCCTTCTACTTTTAATAAAGCAATCGAGTTTGCTTTGAAATTCTGAGGGAACTGATAAGATTTCTCGTTTGAAGTCAAATTAAGAAAGAGGTGGACCATTTATTAATAAATTAAATTATGTCAAATGATTTTAGAGACTATTCCATAAAAAATTATTATTCTGTTAGAAATAATAATCCTTTACTCCCTAGTTCAATAAGAGCTTGTATAATTGGAAAGTCTGGATGTGGTAAAACTAACTTGCTAATGAACTTATTGTTGGATAAGTTTGAAGGAACTGATTATTTAGATTATGACAATTTGTACATATTTTCTACTACACTGTTCCAACCTTGTTACCAAGCACTCATTAATGGGTTTGAAAACGGTTTAACTAAAAAAGATATTAGAGAATGTTTTAGAACACAGAATTTTATGGTTGAAAAAAATGATAAAAAAAATATAACTATACACACTTCAGAAAACTGTGCTGATATTCCAGACCCTAGCTCTATTGATCCTAACAAGAAAACATTGATTATTTTTGATGACTTAATGCTTGAGAAACAAAACAATATAGAACAGTACTACACTAGAGGAAGACATAATAACATTGATTGCTTTTACATTTCTCAAAACTATATCAAACTTCCAAAGAATACGATTAGAGAGAATGCTAATTTGTTTATTGTTTTTCCTCAGGACAAATTAAACTTGGACTATATTTATAGAGATCATTGTAGTGAGATAGATAAGACAAAATTTCTAGATATGGCGACATCGATATGGAAAGACAAGTATTCGTTTTTAAGTATTGATAAAACTAGTGAAAAGGACAGTGGTAAATTTAGAAAATTGCTAAAGTATTTTTGTATTTTTTAATTTTCAATTGTTTTTAAAGATATCACCTGCAAATTCGTTCAGCAATTTTTTATTGAAGCTTCTCTTGATATTAATTTTGGTGAGGGTGTCATCAAGCCCATCAACGATTTCTTGTTGCTTCTTTCTAATTTTCTCTAATTCTTGATCATTTCCTTTTTTGGAAAGTTCACCTTCCAGTAACTCATTTCTCTCTCTTAGACTAACAATTTCAGCTTCCAACATTCCAATATATCTGCATGCTTCCTCAAGTTTGGTAGTAAGAGTTTCTATAGCATCAGAAGACGCGCCTAATAGTCCAGCCAAACTAGATATCTTTGCTAATAATAATGAAAAGGATTTTTTATTCTCTAAACCCTCAAGTCTACTATTGAATCCGGCTATGAGATTATTTATTTCCGTGGCATATTTATGTGCTTTTGAATTACCATGCTTACTTAGTCCTTCTTGTAACCAAGTTTGTACATCATCATGAGATTTAATAGCATCCAGCAGAGATTCAATTTTCTCAGCCAGAGTGTCAGACATTACATTACTTGTGCTTTTCGTCTTTACAGTTTTTTTCGTGGTCGTCATCATTTATAAATGTGGAATTACATTATACTTACGACGATTTTAATTTTTACAATGATCCTGTATGTAGTAGCATATTTTTGTAAACAGAGACTCACTCCATATAGCTCGGATTTTATATTACTGTTAGGAATGATTCTTATGTTTGTATTATCTACATGCTTCATATACAACCTTGAAACTGCTATAACAAAGATTTCAAGTGCATTATTTGATTCCAACAATTTGATGGGGCAAGTAGCTTCAAATTTGTTGAAAATTCGTCCTCAGTGTGTTACAACTTTGAATTCTACTCAGTGACGCAATTGTTGTTTCAATTTTTTGGGGGTGATACTATTTTTGAGATTACATTTTTTTGGGGCTTATGTTTTTTCGGGTGCTTCTCGACCGTGAAGAACCTAAGCACTTAAGCATCTAAGCATCTAAGCATCCAACCCCTCAAGCACCAAAGCCTCAGAAATTCGTTATAAAACAAACAAATAAATGAGTGGTAGGTTGTACCTATATGAAACCGATTTGTCAACCGGTAAAACACTAATTGTATCTTCTCTGAATCATTTAAATTTCACTCGAATGAATGCTAAAGAAATGTATTCAAGACAAGAGTGTGTAATAGATGGAGATTGGACTATGAACTATGCTAGAGATAAGTTACTAAAAATGTTGAAAAACTATCGTAATAATAGAATGTCTTTAAAAGTGAGGAAATTATTTTGTTTGAAATCCGATACTAATCTTATTAGAATATGCAATCCACCATCGAATCGAATAATTGATTTACCAACATCCACCAAAGTTCCAAAACAATTGGAGTCAAACAGAAAGCATCTGCAATCAGTTCCTCTCAGAGGGAAGATTGATTTACTCTCCAAGAGTGGCAATGTCTCACAGAGAGACAGTTTAAAAGTTCAAAAGGATTATCAGCCATCGCACAAAAAACAATTCGATCTGCCAATGATAGGTGGTAAAATATCGTTAGACTATAAAGACATACTAAAATCTTGGAGTTGAGGTGAAACTACTTGGTGATAGAAGGTTTATCCTGTTTGGTTTGTATAAGTTTTGTGTAAGAATTTACATGGGATGTACATTGGTGTACTTGGAGTGCCTAAGACTATCAACTACTAAAGTTTTAGAATCCGATATTCAAGTAAATTACTCCCAAATCTTTCTTCTTAATTTTTTTCTGTTTTACCAACTCATCTAAAATCGCATGAATTTTATTATACTCGTCTTTGTTACCAGCCTGATATGACCCAATTGATAATCTCAACGAGTCAATTAAAGAATTAGTATTTGATGGCATAAATGTAATAGAACTTCCTTGAGAACTTCCTGATGTCGCCGCCGGGGTCTTGGTTACAAAATAATTAGCCTTTATAAACGCCCACTTTTCACTTGAATCAGCATTATACCTTTTACTATTTTTATCAAACCCTTGATACAACCCATTAGAACATAATAATATCGTTTGGTAGTTTTTAGTATCTTCTGTACTGACCTTTTTCAAGTTGGGAGACTTTTTAGTTAAAAGTTCCATTAATCCTTCAGTTGCTGTGTATTCATCATTGTTAACCTTGATAATATTTTGATCAAATGAGATGAATTTATTTCCTATGCTATATTTTTTCTCATCTTTGTTATACTTGATCGAGTACCCAGCATTGCTTCTATCAGTTCCGTCTTGAAGATATCCAACAATTAGATTACTTACTACATGTGGTTGAGGAGGACTAGGTAGAGATGGTGGTAAGATTACTGAGGGCTGCTTAATGAAACTTTTACGATTTGTTTTTGGTGTCGAAGTGGATGGAGGTCCTATAGAAGGTTGAGAAGGGTGTTTAAAGTTGTTCAAAGTTTCTACAATTTTGTTCTTTTCATCAATTATCTCTTCTTGAAGTTTTTTGTTGGATTCTAGAATTGGTTTAAACACGTCTATCCTGTGATCTTCCATCTGTTCCAAGTCGGTTCTCTCTTGTAAATTCTTTATTTTATGTTCTTTTCTGTTTTTCAAAAAGTTGTTTACTATTTCATTACGTCGTTTTGGGTCATAAATTTCTACCACAGAGTGCATTTATTACAGAAAATATTATTAATATTGCGAAAAAGTGTATAAAAGTACTGAAATTTTAGGAGAGATTGAAATGTTATTTTTTAAACTATTTAAATGGAACAAGTTGATTACAAAAAATTGAATAGGGATCAACTACGTAGACTAGTTAGAAATAGAACTGGAATGAGCAGTGTTGATGTTAGAAAGATGAGTGTGGATGAAATGCGTAAGATACTTGAAAACTATGATAAAGAAGAAGCAAACAAGCAATCTAGTTTCCAAATGAGGGAACTATTTCCTTTTGATAAAACCGTTTTTAGTGAGTACAAAGAAGTTGGTGATACGTTAAGAGATACTTTTCACATTGGAGATTCTAAAACTATAGAATCCTTTTTAGATAAAAAGGAAACTGACATTATAAACGACATTTTTGAAAATAGTGTGAAAATATATGTATCCTTAGAATGTGAAATGATAAAAGAAGGTACAGAAGATAAACGTATAGCTCATTTGACTACAAAAAGTGTATTATTGAATCCAGGTGATAGTAGGATTGACTTCATGAAAAATATTAAATCTGATTTAGTAAATAGATTAGAAGAATATCAAGCTAATGGTTCTGGTTATAGATTAAATAGAATCATAGGATTAAGAATATTTCAAACAAAAATCAAACCATTATCAGGATCAAAATATATCGAACTTCCTGATTGGATAAAAAATAAAAAGGCTGTGATTAATATTCAGAATATGAAAGATGATAAATGTTTCATGTGGTGTATTCTAGCACACTTATATCCAGTTGAAGAAAACCCCGAACGAGTAAGCAAATATAAAGAACATGTTTCTAAGATTAATTTTGATGGTTTCGAGTTTCCATTCCAAGTTAAAGATGTAGATAAGTTTGAGAAGAGAAACAATCTAGCTGTTAATATTGTTACTTATAACGTTGAAGATTGTGGGAAGAGAATAGAGTCATATAAAGTTTCTAAAAATATCAAAGTAGATTTAAATAGAGCTATAAATCTTTTACTTATCACTAATAGCTCTGGAGAAGGACATTACTGCTTAATAAAAAATATAAATAGATTGATGAACACCGGTAATGGTAATTCAAACAAGTTTTGTATTAGATGTCATAATTGTTTCACGAATGAGGAAAGATATAAAAAACATCTCGGCGACTGTATGAGCAATGCTCCAATACAAATGATTAAACCTTCCAGTGATTATATTGAATTTTCTAATATTCAGAAAACGCAAAAACATAGATTCGTATGTTACGCCGATTTTGAATCTGTTATTCCTAAAATTGATAGTGTTAGTAATTCTCCTAACAAGTCTTGGAGTGAGAATATCGGCAAACATGTAGCTTCTGGATTTTGTGTAATTGTTGTTGATTCTTTCACTCAAAGTATTTACGATATGAAGAGCTATATTGGATATGATACTATTTTAAAATTCAATGAATATATCTTAGATGTTTGTGAAAGACTGTTGAACATACCAGATAAGAAAATGATAGATTTGACTGAAGAACAATGGGAGGAATATAATAGCTGTAAGACGTGTCATGGATGTGGAGAGACAATGATTGATGGTTTTGAGAAGGATATAAACAACAAAAAACACCTTGAGAAAATAATGAATAAGGAAGATGCTTTGAAAGAAATAGTGTATGATCAAATTGATTTTATGGGGAAAAAAACAGATAAGGTTGATTTCAAACGAAATATGAAAAATGAAATAGATACTATCAAAAGAAAAAATGAAATCATTAAAAGTAATAAGACAGTTTCCAAGGAGAATAATAAAAATATAAGAGAGGCTATTAAAGATATAAAAGATAATAAAGCAATTTTAAAAGTAAAGTGTGAGGATTTAAAAGTGGTTAATGAAAGTATCAAAGAACAAAATGAAATCATTAAACAAAATAATAAAAATATGAGAGAAGCTAATAAAGATATAAAAGATAATAAAGCAATTTTAAAAGTAAAGCGTGAGGATTTAAAAGTGGTTAATGAAAGTATCAAAGAACAAAATGAAATCATTAAACAAAATAATAAAAATATGAGAGAAGCTAATAAAGATATAAAGGAAGTTGAAAATGATATCAAAGAAAATAATAACATGTTGAAAGTTAGAGATCATGACCATTGGACTGGTGAATATAGAGGGGCTTTATGCAATGGATGTAACTTGCTTAAGCGTAAGAATAGGTTTATACCAGTATTTTTCCATAATTTTAAAGGCTATGACTCGCATCTTATTATCAGTGACGAAAAATCTAGTCAAATGTTGGAAGAAAAGAATGTTGAAATGAAAAGCATTTCAGCAAACATTGAAAAATTCATCAGTTTTAGTAATCACTTCTATAATGAATTCAAAAGGTGTGAAATTAGATTTTTAGATAGTTTTGGATTCATGCCATCCAGTTTAGATTATCTAAGCAACAACTTACAAGATGATGAATGTGTAATAACAAAAAGTTATTACAAGGATGAAAACACGTTCAAGCTACTGAGACGCAAAGGTGTTTATCCTTATGATTTCATGGACTCGTTTAAAAAGTATTCTAACACAGAACTTCCTCCGATTGAAAACTTTCACAATACCTTGTATAATAAGGACATAAGCAATGATGATTATGAATATGCTCTAAAAGTATGGAAAGAAACAAATTGTAAGACTTTAGAAGATTATACTAGAATTTATATGATTAATGATGTTTTACTGTTGGCTGATGTCTTTGAAACTTTTAGAAATGTATCTCTTAAAGAATACAAATTAGATCCATGTTGGTACTACACATCTCCTGGATTAGCTTGGGATGCCATGTTAAAGAAAACTGGAGTTAAGCTACAAACAATTAAAGATATTGAAATGTATAACTTTATTGAGAAAGGTATCAGGGGAGGTATGTGTAATGCTATGTTGAGATATTCTAAGGCTAACAATAAGTACATGTCAAATTATAATCCTGAAGAGGAATCAAAATACTTACTTTATCTAGATGCTAATAATCTTTATGGATGGGCAATGAGTCAAAAATTACCTTATGATGATTTTAAGTTTATAAATGTAGAAGGTTTCAACTTAAAAATGTTAGAAAATCTTAATTCTCAAGGCAAGGGATGCATACTTGAAGTTGACTTAGATTATCCAGATAGTCTTCATGATAAGCATAATGATCTACCATTTTGTCCAAACAATAAAAAAGTTGGTTCTACAAACAAATTAACAAATGATTTTAGCCCAAAGAGAAATTATGTGATACATTATAAATCTCTCGTGCAAGCTTTAGAACATGGTTTGATGTTGAGAAAAGTTCATCGTGTAGTTACTTTCAAAGAAAGCAATTGGTTGGCATCTTATATAGAATTAAATACCAACTTGAGGAAAAATGCTAAAAATGATTTTGAGAAAGACTTTTTTAAACTTATGAACAATTCTGTGTTTGGTAAGACTATGGAGAATGTTAGAAACAGAGTAGATGTTAAAGTTGTATCAGATATGGATAAAGTAATGAAACTAGCTAGTAGCAATAATTTTAAACAGAGACATATTATAAATGAGAATATGATTTTGGTAGAGATGGCACAGAAAAACATTAAACTAGACAAACCTATTTATGTGGGATTATCTATTCTAGATTTGAGCAAGTATTTAATGTATGAGTTCCACTACGATGTTATGCTACCAAAGTATTCTTCAAATTTGAGACTGTGTTATCAAGATACCGATTCATATATATACGAAATCAAAACTGATGATGTTTATGAAGATATGTTAGCTATGAAAGAACACTTTGATTTTTCGGATTATCCCAAAGAAAATAAACTTCATAGCATTGAGAACAAAAAGGTAATTGGTAAATTCAAAGATGAGTTAAATGGTAGAATAATGACTGAGATTGTAGCCTTTAGACCTAAGCAATATGCTTTTAAGACCGATGAAGGAGAGGAAATGAAGAAAAATAAAGGTGTTAAGAAAAATGTAGTTAAAAAGGAAATGACTTTTGATGATTACAAGAATTGTTTATTTAATAGAACTATTGAAAGAAGACAACAAATGCTTATAAGTTCTAGTCAGCACCAAATCCACAGTGTAAAACAAAATAAAGTTGTGTTAAATAATTTAGTTGGTAAAGATAAAGAATCTAAAAGGTATGCTGTAGATAATATAGACACACTAGCTTTTGAACATTATAGAATTCCTAAATCAAAGTAAGTATCGAATTTTTATAATCATGTTTTTCTAATAATTTTAATAAAAGTATACAGTAGTATCCACAATGATGAGTATCAAACTTTTGTATTTGGAATGTAGAAAGAGTTATTTGAGAATCTAGAATGTTTTGTTTTAAATATCTAACTAGTTCGTCAGGGGGGTCTAGACCGAAAGAATCAAAATAGTAAGTTCGCTTTCATTCTTTTTATAACACACCCAATGGGTTCCTTTGTTGTTCATACTATCAAGATTTACAACACCTACTTCCATTTTTTTAGGCTTATCAGGAAGAGTGTCACGCATAAAAACTCCTCTAAAGTTTTTAATTTGTAAATCTTGTGCCAATTTCAATAAATCTATATTTGTTAACGGTTTCAAATCTTTGCACAACATTTAATAAACCGAAATAATGGTAAAGAATAGATAACAATATCGCTGCCGCAGAGCAGACTGTGCACTATTTTCCACTCCGATGGCTGATTTTTCTTGTCTTTTTTCCTTCACTCCGACGACAATTTTTTTCACTCCAACGGCTGATTTTTTGCATATTGTTAATGAGGCAACTTTTTCGTTTGGTTGACGGAGTTTTTTTTGAATATTTTGCGACTTCATTAACTCTTCACCTAACTTTTATCCTTTTTAATTTTGATCTAGATTCGAACTTTTGTCTGTCGAATACTAAACATACACACTACCATTCTGACATGGGAGCAAATTTGATAATAGGAGTGAAATGGTGTTTAAGTATGAGGTTGGTGGTGGTTATGGCTTGCTTATCAGTAAAAATTTGTGTTTTGAGGTGTTTTAGAAAGAAGCGAAAAAAGTGGGCAGAAAACTGCACCAGAAAGGTACTTTCACTACTACTCCTATAAAAATGGAATGGTGGTAGAGGAACTTCACAAAGTTCTCTGCAAGGAGAATATTGAAAAAATGATTATGATTATTTTGCTCTTGGCAATTCTGGCTATTGGATCCGCAAATGGACAGGCTGTCATCCGTAAGAAAGGTTCAACGTTATTAAATCTCAATTACAGTATTTTGAGCAACAATACAGCCACCAGTGAATCCATGTGACACTTTCCAGTGTGCTGCCGGTACCAAATGTAAGCTCCAAGACTCTCTTTGTAGAACGGGTCCATGTTATGTACCTACTTGTGTGCCTATTGGGGACTGTCTAGGGAAGAATCAAGAGTGGTCGGATTGTGGATCGGCTTGTCCAAAGAGATGTGAGCAGAAGGAACCGGTGAGTCTACCGTCATGTCCACAGCCTGTATCTCTATTGCCAGGTGGCTTGCCCAGCAGTGTGCCGTCCGGGATGTGTCTGCAAAAAAGGATTCTGCCTTAGAACATCGGGAGATTGTGTTGCTGATGTTAACTGTGGAACTTTGGCTAAATAATATTCTTGTGTCTTTAAAACGCTTCTCTGCAATATGATTCAATAAACGCTTTTTAAATCATTTTTTAAGATTTCTATTTGGCTTCCACCTACTTCGAAATAAAATATTGTGATTTTGTCATGCGAATTCCTTTTTGGTCTTTTCAGTTACATTCCGGATATCCACTTGAATTAGGGAATTGTAATAGTATAGTTTTCCCCAAACAGTCTTTGTTTTTTTTTTCCGTTCCAAAGCTCTATGGTTTCAAAAAATGACGAAATCTCTTGTCTTCCATCCTACTAGCGAAGTTTATGCTAGCTTGAACCAGCGTGAACTACTTTTAACTGAGTTGCATGATCTTGAACCTGCTAGCTGATTGTGAGCACAGTTGACCTAAACTTAAGCTAACTAGAACTAGCCCAAGCCGCCGGTGCTTGCTGTAATTTAGCGGAGTGCAACCTATCCAAGCTCAAGCTAGCTCCAACTACTCTTAACTAGCCTGGACCATCTTAAAGGTCGGGGGACATGAAAAAAATAATGTTCTCGAAATTTCGTTCAAAGATGCCCCTCGAGGAGTTGAACTTGTCGAGGCGAGTGTTGAAGGTGCGGCGCCGCTACCGACTGAGCCATGCGGGCAAAGAGAAAGCGCACGCCCGATTGCATACATAAAGGCGAGGACGACAGCTGTACGCAGAGTGACATTAAGCGTTGTACACCGTGACGGTAGAATGCATACTCTAGCTACAAAAAAACTACGAAAAATCTCCTGTCCCCCCACCTTTAATGCTACCTAAGTTTTCGGTATATATATATATATATAGCTTAGCTGAGCTTAATCTTACTTGAACTAGCTTAAACTAGCTTACTCTTGCTTGATCTTAGCCGAGTATCACCTATCCCAGCTCAAGACAGTCAGCTCAAACTACTTCTGAATACCCCTCAAAGTGAATAATTTACCTATTTGCAGTTAGATGAATACGAATATTCACTATGATCGTTTTATTCTAGAATCCAAAAAAACACACATTTTCTTCAAAATCAAAATCAATCGTTGCATTTTATTGCACAAAAATTGGTTTTCGAAAACCAAAAATCCAGAACTTTTACACATTTTGCATACAATGCCAAATTTTCCAACAAAAATCGAAAATATTTGTTCAATTTTTGATAATCTACTGAAAACATTAATCCAGGAACGGAATCAACATGTTATTTTTACAAAACGGTCGAAAGTCAGAAGGTCCTATAAAAATGGAATGTTGGTAGAGGAATTTCACAAGGTTCTCTGAGAGGAGAATCTAGAAAAAAATGGCTATGATTATTTTGCTATTGACAAGTTTGGCTATTGGATCCGCAAGTGGACAGGAGGATGCGGCTATTATCGGTAAGGAATATTCTGCGTGTTTTTAAGACACATTCTCTGAGAGAATTGAGATCGGGTCAACATTCGATCGGGTCAACATTCGATAACAATGAAAAAAAATCAAAATGGACCTAGGAGGTTGATATTGTATACCCACCACATACAATATCAGACTCCTAGGTCCATTTTGATTTTTTCCATTGCCATGGTGTTTTCGAGTTTCTCAGAGATTGTGTCTTAAACGCCAAGCAGAAATTTTAGCACCAATAAAGCCGCTACCACCAGTGAATATGTGTGATACTGTCAAGTGCCCTGCTGGTACTAAATGTGTGCTCCATCAAATCGTTTGTGTAACTACACCATGTGATCCTATACCTACGTGTGAACCTATTGGAGACTCCAAATGCCCAGGGAAGAATCAAGTGTGGTCGGATTGTGGATCCGCTTGCCCAAAAAAGTGTGAGCAGGAGGAGCCGGTGAGTAGAGCATCGTGTCGTATCTTGTGCAACCAATTTTCAGGTAATGTGCCCAGCAGTCTGTCGCCCGGGATGTGTCTGCAAGAAAGGATTCTGTCTTAACAAACTGGGACAATGTGTTGCTGATAAAAACTGTGGAATTTTGACTAAATGATATGTATCTGTAAATCGTTTCTCTGCAATTTTATTCTATAAACTATTAATTATCGGATTTCTATGCCTTCCGCCTTCTTCAAAAAAATAATGTGTGTTTTCCATTATAATTCAACAGTTGACCTTTCCAGTGACATCACAGACATCCATCGGACTCGTAATTCCTTTTGTCTGATTCCCGAAACATTCTTTATTCTTTTTTTTTTGTTCCAAATCTCGTCAGTTTCTAAAAAACTGACGAATTTCCTGTTTTCCATCTTTCTAGTTCTACCTTCAAGCTGCCTTTCAAATGAGTATAACCTGACCAAGTTCAAGCTAGCCTATGCCAGAGGTGTCAGGAATTCCGACTTCCGAGAAACAAATTTTACTTCCTACTTCCGACTTCCGACTTCCGAAAAACGCACTTTACTTCCTATTCTCTAATGTCACCAACGACTTTTTGCATAAAAATTACGAGATTTGTCTGTTTTCGACCAGAAAAAATGGAAAAAAATTGCCAAAAATTACCGCGAATAACATAAACCATGGTCCGAAATAACCGTAGGCTACCAAAACAGCTCGATTTTTAAGAGTTTAATTCCGACTTCCTAATTCCGACTTCCTACTTCCGGGCGTTTTTCACTTCCGACTTCCGACTTCCGGGAATGAAATTTTACTTCCGACTTCCGAGTTCCAAAATTTCACTTCCTGACAACTCTGGTCTATACTAGCTCAAACTAGTCCCGACTTGTTTGAATCATCGTGAACCAGCTTGATGCTAGCTAATAGTAAGCACAGGTGAGTTGAGCTTTAGCTAACTTGAACTAGCCTAAACTAGCCTGAACTACTCTAATCCAGCTCGATGGTAGCTGAGCAGAAACAATTTGAGTTTAAACTAGCCTGAATATTCTTAATCTGAGCTAACTTAGTATGCCTGATCACCATTATTATTTCCAGAATGGAAAATGTTTTCCAGAAGAATCGAAATCAGTCGTTGCATTTTTTTTTGCACACAATTTCATTTTCAAAAACCGAAAATCCAGAACTATGTGTTGCGGAATTTGCATAAAATTGTCCAACAAAAAAAGTATTTGTTCAATTTTTGATTTTCCGCATATATTTTTGTCAATTCATTGAAAACATTAATCCAGGAACTGAATCAACATGTTATTTGCTCAAACGGTCGAGAATCATAAGGTCCTATAAAAATGGAATGTTGGTAGTGGAACTTCATAAAGTTCTCTGGGAAACGGAGAATTTCGAAAATGACTATTATCATTTTGCTATTGGCGTGTTTGACTGTTCGATACGCAAGTGGACAGGAGGAAGCGGCTATCATCGGTAAGGAAAATTCAACAGGGTCTTATAAGTGTCAATCAAAGATATTGCAGCCCCAAAAAAGCCGCTTCCAGTGAAGCCAGTCCTTCCTTCTATCACCTGTGCCAATGTCCTGTGCATCATGAATTCCACCTGTGTGATGTATGAGGCTCTTGACGGGAAGATGAAACCATATTGCTTGCCAATTGATTATGAAAACAGTAAGGATAGGGGAAAGCTAAGGCAGCCTAGCCTGAGCTAGCTTGAGTCAGCTCAAGCCCATTTTAAAATAGCTTAAGGTAGCTTAAGATAGCTTGAGCTAGCCTACACTAGCCCAAGCTAGCTTAAGCTGGCACAACCCAAACTTTTCAGCCTGTGCCTATACCAAATGCCCAATCAACAAGAAATGCGTAATGGTCGAGGTCACTTGTGTCAAGGCTCCATGCTACCCGGTACCCGAGTGCAGACCCCGTCCGATCGTTCTCCCACCCATCAAACCATATCCAGTTGAGCCACTTCCCATCGAAGCCGCTCGCAAGAAGCGTCAAACCGATGTTACATGTCTTACCGCCAAATGTGCCACACCTGGAGGATGTGCAATGACTCGCCCCTTAAATTGTGACACTCCTAACTCCGATGGAAGCTGCCCACTTCAAGCTGGATGTGTACAAGTGAATCCATGTCATACTATCGATTGCGCGGCTGGAACTCAATGTGTGCTCCATGAAATCGTTTGTGTAACTGCTCCATGTAATCCTGTACCTACTTGTGAGCCTATTGGGGACTCCAGATGTCCAGGGAAGAATCAAGAGTGGTCGGATTGTGGATCGGCTTGTCCAAAGAAGTGTGGGCAGAAGGAACCTGTGAGTATGCCATCATGTCCATAGCTTGTACGATATATTTCCAGATGGCTTGCATAGAGGTATGTCGTGAGGGATGTTTCTGCAAAAAAGGATTCTGTCTTGACAAATTGGGACAATGTGTTGCAGATAAAACTTGTGGAGTTTTGGCTAAATGACATCTTGTTTCTGTGCATCTGTAAATCGCTTCTCTTCACTCAATAAACAATTTAAAAATATTTTTCTCGCTTCCAAATTCTTCCAAAAAAAAAATGACTCCTTGTCTTGTTTGTGTACCTAATCTTTAATTGGTCATCTAAAGTTGTTAAGTAAGCATTGATTCGTTTAAACCGTGCTGTTCAGACAACTGTAGATCCAAATAGACTTCATTTTTCAAGCCAATCCCTTTTTGATCTTTGCCCCTGCGTCGCATGCAATCCAACCCAAGAATATGTCCATGTCCTGCTCGTTTGCAGGGCTCATGCGACCCAATTACAGACTACCGTCCCCTTGAATCGACTGAACCAGATGACCCCTGTCTCATCACTGAAAGTGATATTAATACTACATGAAAGTGAATACTTGGTCTCGTTGGAGTGCAATCCAAATATATATTTTTTTTTCCAAAAAATCTAAATCAGTCGCTGCATTTTGTTTTGCATAAAAAAAAGTTCGTTCTCAAAAACCAAAACTCCGGAACCATTCTAGAATTTGCATATAAATTTGATATTTCTACAATACTTGTTCAATTTTTGATAATCTACTGAAAACGTTAATCCAGGAACGGAATCAACATGTTATTTTCTCAAAACGGTCGAAAGTCAGAAGGTCCTATAAAAATGGAATGTTGGTAGAGGAATTTCACAAGGTTCTCTGAGAGGAGAATCTAGAAAAAAATGGCTATGATTATTTTGCTATTGACAAGTTTGGCTATTGGATCCGCAAGTGGACAGGAGGATGCGGCTATTATCGGTGAGGAAGGTTCAACAGGGTTCTTTGAACGTTAATTACAGATATTTCAGCGCCAATAAATCCGCTTCCAGTGAAGCCAGTGCTACCATCTATCACTTGTGCCAATGTTCTGTGCATAATGAATTCCACCTGTGTGATGTATGAGGCTCTTGATGGGAAGATGAAGCCATATTGCTTGCCAATTGATTATAAGAACAGTAAGTCTAGGGCAAAGCTAAGAAAAATGAGCTAGGCTAAGCTAGATCAAACTAGTTTAAGATAGCTTGAGCTATCCTAAACTAGCCTAAGCTCGCCTGAGTTCAACTGAGCTATCCTAAGCTAGCAAACCCAGAATTTTCAGCCTGTGCCCACACCAAATGTAAATGCCTCGAGAAATGCGTAATGGTCGAGGTCACTTGTGTCACGGCTCCATGTTACCCGGTACCCGAGTGCAGACCCCGCCGGATCATCCGCCCACCCATCCAGCCAAATCCTATCGAGCCACTTCCAATCGAATCCGCTCGCAACAAGCGTCAAGCAGAGGTCTCTTTGGACAATCCGCTGCCAGTGGTACCATTGAATCCATGTGATACAGTCAAGTGCGCTGCTGGTACTCAATGTGTGCTTCATGATGCAGTTTGTAAAGCTCCTCCATGCAATCCTATACCTACATGTGAACCTATCAGATGCCCAGGTAAAAATCAAGAGTGGTTGCAATGTGGATCGGCTTGTCCAAAGAGATGTGAGCAGAAAGAACCGGTGAGTGCCCTGAGCGTGTACACCATGTCCACAGTTTGTATAACCAATTTCCAGGTGTTGTGCAAAGCAGTGTGCCGTCCGGGATGTTTTTGCAAAAAAGGATTCTGTCTAAGCAAATCGGGAAAATGTGTTGCTGATAACAACTGTGGAATTTTGATCGAATAATTTTCTTGTTTCTGTTTTTTTTTTTTGTAAATCGCTTTTCTTCATTCAATAAACAACCTTCAAAACAAAACTGGACAGAACTAGAGACCCCAACTCGGGTGCGACGATACGCGTGGCGACATGTATCATCTGAAAGCAGTCAGCTTCCTGATTCCAAAGCCGGCAGTTTTCGAGGGATTGCGATTCATTGTAGTTTGAAGCAAACCACAAGGTTACTTTTGGGAACGCTGATTACAGTATAAAAGTCATTTTCCACCACCTTGCACTGAATTTGATGTTAATGTTGCCGCATGAAAGTGAATAATTTGACTAGTCGCAGTTCAGTACAACTATTCATTTTGATGGTTTTTCTCTAAAATACAGTATACATATTTTGACAATTTCACAAAAATTCTTTTCCGAAAACCAATAATCCGGAAGTCTTTTATAATTTGCATACAATGGTCCAATACAACGAAAACTTTTTTTTTCAAATTTTGTCAATCCATTGAAAACATGAATCCAGGAACGGAATCAACATGTTATTTGCTCAAACGATCGAAAATCATGAGGTCCTATAAAAATGGAATGCTGGTAGAGGAACTTCACGAGGTTCTCTGAGAGGAGAATCCAGAAAAAATGAATATGATCATTTTGCTTTTGGCAATTCTGGCTATTGGATCCACCATCAGACAGGAGGATGCGGCTATCATCGGTAAGGATGATAAGGAGTACTTCGGATGTCAGTTACAGAAATTTTTGCACCAGTGAATCCATGTTCGTTGGTCAAGTGCGCTGCTGATACTCAATGTGTGCTCCGCGAAATCGTTTGTGTAACTACCCCATGTGATCCTATACCAACTTGTGAGCCTATTGGCGACTCCAGATGTCCAGGGAAGAATCAAGAGTTCCAGAAATGTGGATCACCTTGTCCAAAGAAGTGTGGGGAGAAGGAGCCGGTGAGTGTCCTTAGCTAGAACATCATGTTCTTAGCTTGTCCGTAACAACTCATTTCCAGATGGCTTGTATAAAAGTCTGCCGCCAGGGATGTTCCTGCAAGAAAGGATTCTGTCTTAACGAGTCGGGAGAATGTGTTTTGGATATTAATTTTGGAGTTTTGACAAAACAAGTTTCTTGTTTTTTTCAATAAACCATTCTGACTAGCTTTTTTTGACTTCCGCCTTCTTCCAAATAAAAACAGACACCATGTAATATTTATGTACCTAATCTCTAATTGATCTCCTAAAGTTGTTGAGTAAGCCCTACTGATTGTTTGTTCGCACCTGTTGTTCAAA